AATGATTGATTTCGATTCTACAATCATTATTCTCCTATAGCTAGCTACTAGCTGAGTGATTCAAAGGTAGGCGACTATTGTTGAAGATGAAGAGTGTGTTTGAAATATGAATATGCTACTAAGTAATAACTGATTTTTCTATATATTCAACCTATGTTATTGTAAGAAGTAGTCACAATAAATAAAAAATCAGTCCAATCTAGATAAACGCTACAATATCTATAACTAATATTTTACAATTTAATTGAGTCTATTGTATGGCTTATATCTACTGTTGAAACTCTCCGACAGTAAGCTAGTATCTTTGTAAGGAAAACATCATTAATATATATCATTTCTTTTACATGCGTATATGTATACATATAATCAAATATTTCAATCATTGTAAATAAAATACTTTTTTGATTTTATATGTAAAAAAAACGTGAATAATCCAATCAAATAGTTAAGTTAAAGAAAAAAAAACATACACACAAAGGCATACGATTTCTATAATGAAAAAAGAAAGAAAAAAAATCAAATCATCGAATTAAATTCGGAGTTGTATGCGAAAGAATACCAGAGAGGAATGTGTACAGATAAATGTCTGTTTAGTTTGTTGAATTATATAGAGAAAAATTACAAAAAATATATATATATATTGAATCACAAAATGACTTGATTGACAATATTGTTGTTTCAACAAAAAACTTCATATCTGATTGTAATGATACGAAAGTTTATTTTTAGTTCATATCTAAATCATCTCATGTATAAATTTGACACCCGATACAAACATTGTCCAATAATAACTTTCTTCATCTGTAAAGCGTGATGAATATAAATCTTGTACATATCTATTTATTTAAATAAATATATAAAATAAAAAAAAAACAAACTTTCTTCTTCAAATAAACTTACTGCATAATTGATAGAAGATTAGGTGGATTAGCTTTAACAATCACATAAATTAATATTGGAATTGTATCATCAGCACCAGCAGCTGAATTTGATGCTAAACGAATTAAATTTTGTATTATACGTATACATCGTTGTACACATGCAACTTTATCACGAGGAGTCTATTCGAAAAATAAAAAAATAATAATTTAATTTTCTTTATTATTTTATACTAAATAAGATTATTTACTTTATAGGCATTAATTAAACGAAGTTCAGCTTGAGCTGATGGCCATGGACATTCTCTTTGATATAATTTCTGTATACGTAATTTTTGATGATTAGGATCAAGTTGTTCAGCAAGTGTTCGTATATGACCACTAAAAATTCTATAAGACAACAAAAAGAAAACATTCAAAAAGAAAAAAAAGAAATATTCATACTGATCACGTTGAACATCAATTTGTCCATTTGGATATAATGCAGCTGTATAAAATTTTGCCATAACTATACGTTCAATGGATGTTTGTGACATAGCAAATTGTTCGGGTGAAGCAGCTATTAAAAAAATAAAATGTGTGAATAGAATTCTTTTTTTTTTTATTATAATACAAATTTTATTTACTTTTCCAATTAATATCTGATGTTATTTCTCGACAACAATCTTGAAGAAATAATTCTATTAAATGCATTTTTTCTTCAGCAATTGATAAATGTGAAAATTTATCAATTAACTTTTGTAATAAATGTTCTTTACAATCAAGAAATAATTTAATAAGATAATTTATTAGATGTTGTTTACATAAATCTTGATCACTAAAAATCAAAAAAAGAAAAAGTTTAATTCTAGTATGGAATTAAACAAGCAAAATTCTCGATTATTCAATGAAGTTTAGATGTCAAACGAAGAAATATTTTCAATTAATCAATGATTTTTTCATTGAAATCTTTTGGAGTATGTCTTTGTCGGATATACTAATTTTCTAGAAAACCAGCATATAAAAATTGAGGAGAATTTCTTATGGCCATATTCGAAATCAATCTGGTCGAGTAACTTTTAGTGAGAAAGCCATTGATCAGTTGAAAATGTTCCTTAGAGAAGATTCTCAAACATGTTCGTTCTCAAGCAGTATTGCTGTTCGATGCTCAACTCTTAACACTATACCTTTTGAGTAAAAAAAGACGTTCTAGATTTTTCTTACACTCAATGAATATTCCTTTAAAGCTGCAGAATGTTATTATTTTCGATATAATATCAAATTAATACAAACATATCTGTAGTTTTGTGAAAAACAGAAATTTCTCGTATAATATGACAAGTATGCGAATGAATTAGTACTATGTTGATCTCAATTCTAGTAAACTTTTACCATAGTTTAATTATCTTAGAAGAGAACAGTCATCTACCAAGTGTATTGTTTAGTATTTTTTTAAGAATTATTATATGAAATCTAAGATAATACTTTTACTTTCGAAGTCTTTTCTGTCAATAAAAAGATTATTATCACTGAATTATCTTCATCAAAAGAAAAGCGAACATATTGTTCTCATGAAACTTAAATATTTGATTATAGAATCTGAACATAGTTATATGACATGAATAGAAAGAAAAAACAAATGACTTGCTTACCATTGTATTCTTACAAGTAATCTATCTTGATGATATGTAATATTAAGAAGATTTTCATTATTTTTAACAAGATAAGCAATATAAACAGATCTTGAACGATAATCATCAATCATTGAACGAATTAGTACTTTACATTCATTTTCATTAAATTGTTGTACACATCGTAATGTTTCATATAATTGTGCTTGTAAATCACGATCTTGTAAAGCAATTGCTTCATAAAGTTGAGAACGAAGAAAAAGTATTAAATTATTTGATGATTTACGATTTAATGAATGTATTGATGATGAACCATTTTGTTGTCGTTGCTGTTGTTGTGGTAAATATTGATTAAAATTTATTGGTGAATTAAGATAATTTATTGAATCAGTATCAGCTGTAGCAAGTACAATACGTAATTTCTTTTTTGCATCAATAAATGCTCGACATGTATCCAAATTTGTTGGATCATAGTAAGGAATTGTATCAGTAAATGTTTCAATCTAATAAATAATTAAACTTATTATGTAAATTAATGATTTTATTGAAGAATTTTATAAATATTTTAACGATGATTAAGAATAAAATTCAAGAGAGAAAGCTCAATAAGTCAGATAATAGAGACATACGAGATCAAGTCTTTTAACTCCAGATCCAGTAATAGTCTCGATCTATTCTTAATAATATATCTTAAAACATTATTCAATACTTGTTTTTTTTGCATTGATTTAGTTGACAAATAGCACTTTTTTTTGATGATTTTATAGTTCATAAATTCTTAAGTTCCAATGGATTTTTTTTGTTTTTAAAAACCTATATTTAACTTGAATTTTTATAAATAAATTATCATCATTTATTGTACTATGATTGATATCACAAAAATGGCGAAAAACAAGCACTTTTGAGCTTGCCTAAAAACTGGTGTAGTTCAGTCAGAGTAGTAAGGTCATGGAGAGCTCAACGATATCTCATTGTTTTAGAAAATTAATTGCTCTATTATTCGATGTAATTAAACAAAACTTGTATCTTAGAATTCTTATTGCTAAAAACCTAGCATGTCAGTTAATATAATCGGGAAAAATCGAGATTAAACCTTTGTAGTCAACTTCCGAACCTACTGTATAATAATAAATATTCATAAAATATTAGACGATTTACTTGTCATGAAAATAAAAGACAAAAAACAAAACAAGTATTAGATAAATAAAGTTTCATGAAGATTGTTTTTATATAGAAAAATACATACTGTAATTGTTTCTGTATGACTTTCATCTGCTGTTGTATTTATTTTTGATCCATGATCAATACTAGTCGATCCTTTACTTGAATATCTTGCAAGAATATCATCAGCTGATATTGTTTCTGTTGGTTGTTGTTCAATATGTGAATGATCATCTTCTGGAATACTACGATCTCGTCGATGTGAACTACTGCTAGCACTACTACCAACAAATCGACGACGTAAAGCCGATATTGCATTTGTTGAGCGTTTTTCATTAGATTTATTTGTTGATGACTAAAACAAAAATTTTTATCGAATAAAAAATATTAATCAAAATTATCTTTACTGGTTTTATAATCGAATTAGATGTTGCTATATTTGATGATGGAAGATTTTGTGATGAACTTAATATTGTTGATTGTTCATTCGATGAATTTGATAAATCAATCAATGGAAAATGAACTGATCGTGTTTCTGTTGGTGATTTTAATGGTGATGGTGCTTGTTGAGAAAATTTTCCACTATCAAGTAAAATACCACTATCAGATATCTAAATTTATACAATAAAAAATATTAAAAATAAAAGAATTTAATTCATACATACTGATGGTAGACTTTCAAGGGATGATTTCATTAGAAGTATATCAACTGGATCGGCTAATCTATAAAAAAGAAACAAACAAACAAACAAACAACTAATCTCATTAAGAATAACAAAAGAAAATATATATATATATAAATTTTTACTTTGATGATGTTGTTCCTGAATTTGTTGAACGTTTTTGTTGTTTACTTAATTCTTCCATTGATGATGATGCTGAATTATTATTATCTATTGAAAAAGAAGGTACTAAGAAAACAAAAACTTAGATATTATATTCAATAGAAGAATTTGTCTACCTAAAAGTTCATTAATATTTGATGTTGACGTTGTATTTTGATTATTAGCAAGTCGTAAAATATTTGAACCATCTTCACTATATGTTTCACTATCACTAGCAAATGCTTCTGTACTCCAACAATCAGATTGTTGATCAATTGGTTTATTTAATGTCTTTTGAGAAAGAAAAAAAAAAAACGTTTTTCTTTTTCGTTTTATTTTCTATGATAAATGTTTAACTTACAATTGAATTACTTTCAGGTAATAAAATATGATTATGTCCACGTGGTTCAACAATAGGTAATTCTTCAACTATTTCATTCAATCTAGCTGCTGCTTGTTCTTGTCCATCTATTTCAGATATTCCAGCATTCATTGTTGACCAATTATCAGATATTGTTGAACGTGTTTCATCACCTAAGTAAGAGAATTTAAAAAATCATTCTTTTTATGAAACACGATCTCAAAGAAGTCTCGAAATGTATCGATAAAAATTTCAATCCCCTTTCCCAAAGATCGAGATAGACGTTGTTGACATACGATCACAGATTGTATATCTAGAGGTGTAAGTCGTTCGACTGAGTCACCGTTGAAGTTTGACGAAAGAAGAACGCAGACTATTTGAGCAGCTGAGAAGTCTGTAAGGTCTTAGTTTTCAAGCAAAATCATACTGTTGAATTTTGATCTAACAATTCTATATTTCAGCAATAAAGGTCTATCTGCTAGAATCATTCTAGGGTATTTAGTTACTCACTAGATCCTCTCGATGGAATATATTTCTCGCTTAAAAGAAAGATATCACTTGAGAACCTTTCCTTGTGAGACTTTTTTCCTTCTTGCACTTTTGGAGAGTTTCAAGTCAAACGATGACGAAGAAATATGTTCCGAAAAACGATAGAATAAAGCAATACTCCAGTAAGTAGTGAGAGTAGGTACAATCGTGTTTTATATTCTAATCCTACAAGACTTATGTTAATAGTTTTTTTTTAAATTTTATCTATGTAAATACCTGCTTCTAAAGTCGGTCGTTGTTGTGGTAAATCAAATAAATTAAATTTATCTGGTACATCTTCACGAAATGGCTTTTGTACCACAATAGGTAAGGCTGGTCCACGTTGTACTGATCCCATAAGAGGATTATGATTAGCATTTATTGTTGTTACTGTTTGACTATTAATAATACTATCTTGTGAATGAATATGAGCATTATTTGTACTTGTTGTTCGTCGATCACTACTATCAAGACTAATATGTGAAGAAGGTGTATCACGACCGGATAAATTTGGTGTTGCTAAAAATTAAAAACAAAAAAATGAATTGATTTTATTCAGTTACGAAAATAATTAATTTAGATAGAATAAATTTTCTTATCGAAATGAAAATTTCGAAATTAATATTACCTCTTCCACTAACTGATCCATTATCAAATAATGGATCAGTTTCAATTTCATTGGTTGCTTTATCAAGATCATCACATGATGATGTAACACTTAAATTGCCTGTTGATGCAGCACCTTCACTTATACCTTCAAGACCTTCTAAATTATCACTTATATTACCAACACTACAAGTATCATTTAAACGAAAACGTAATCTTTTTTCTGTAGCTGATTGATCAAATTCATTTGCACTTGATGTTTTTATTAATTTTGTTCGTTCATTTTCTTGCAAAACCTAACAATTTAAAAAATAATAATTTTCAAACTTTTTATCAACATTAAAATAATTTACTTTTTCTTCAGACAACATTCCGGGACATTCACTATCACTAGATTCTAATGTAAAAACAATAACTTCTTCAGGAAATTGAATATTTTCAGTGCGTTCGAGTTTTTGAACAGTTGTATCTATAAGAATAAATTTTATATTTTCGTTTGAACAAAATGAATTCTTGCTGATTTTTTTTACCTCGTGTTCCATTAGTTTTTCGATGATGATGTCGATGATTATGTTCTGTTTGTTGTTCATAAACAGGAGGAGTTGATGGTAAAGATGGAATTGGAGGTGATTTAAGACATTCTTCTAATGGTATTAATGCTCGTAAATATGTATCTAATTGTTGTTTTAATTCATTATCATTAATTTCATTAACTGCACGACGACAAAATAAAATCTAAAGAAAATTTTATTTTATTTTTATTAAAAAAAACATAAAAATTATCTAACCAATTGTCGAAGTTGTTTTTGTGTTATTAAAATAACGCTTCTTGTTATATTGCTCGATGATAATGTTGATGAACGTAATGGAAATATAACATTTCGACTTGAATCAATAATATTATCTAATATACTGGATACACAATTCTAAATAAGATATTGAATGAAGTGATTTCTTTTTAGAGAGAAAAATAATTACAAAAAAAAAAAATAGTGCAAAAACACACAAACAAATAAAAAGCTAACCATTGGTATAATGGTGTGCATATAAGTGCATCGTGAATTTTATTCATATCATGTGAATATGGAAAGATTTTGTCGATATATTAATCAAAATCATATGCAAAGATAAAGAACAAAACTTAGAAAATTCATACATATTTTCGGTTGAATAATAATGTGTAATATTTAAGAAAAATTATCCAGATATGGATTTCGGAAGGAAATACTTTTCAATAATGTTTTTACAAATGAGGGATAAGTGATCATGAACTCAAGCAGATCTCATTTTCAAAATACTCACTAAAAGATTATTTTGATAACACATAGATGTAGATACTATTACAAATTCTAAAAGACATGCCTGGAATTTTAGACAAAAGTGGGAGCAGTCGGTTTTGGTCTCGGTTACGCCGAAAACCAGATTATCTTGCTCATATTTCGTTAACTCTCATGATCAGTCAAGTACTCAATCTTAACAAAATCTCTTTTTAACTGACATTAAATAAAAAACAGAATTTATAGAGTCATCTTTTAAAAAAAAAACAAATCTCGGATGTTATTGATCGATCATTGTGTTTTTTTTAAGTATTAGAATTTTGTTTTTGTTAATCTAATCGTTCGTCTAACATAAAACTGCTTGTAATCTTGCATATAATTGAACTAACAATTCGACAAAATGAATGTGATTAAAGCTTTATCTTTTCCCATATTCGACATAGTGTTAAAGATTTTGCAAATGTTTATTTTATGCTAGGCAAAAATTTCACAATATATATAAATAAAAACTCACAGAAATGAATGATTCTGACTAAAATAATATCTTTAAAATAAGACAAAAAACAAAAGAAATTTTCTAATCACCTCTTTAAATTTATTATAAAGATCTTTTGTTTTCGATTCAATATCATTGGACATAGCAAGTGTTTGAAGTATAATAGCAATCTAAGTAACAAAAAAAAAAAATTTTCATATGTACTTTATTCCAAAAATTTAATGTACTTGATTTAAATTATGTCGTGCTATTCTACTTATTGGTATATCAGCAATAATTCCATGTTTTTCAGGTTCACATATAGCTGGTCCAATAAATAATGTCATAATAATATCACAACATAAACAACGTATTTCACGTGATGATAATTCACTTGATTGCGATAATATAATAAACATTTGTGACATAAGAAATGATAAAGATGTTGGAAAAAACTCTAATGCATTACGTAAACTTTCAATAAATGTATATGTAAATGTATATAATTTTGTTAGAATAACATTACGATATTTTTGTATTTTATCTAAATAATCACGTGTATTTGGTGTACCGAATCTAAAAGTAAAAATAGAAAATCTTATCTATCAAAACAGATGAGCAATCGAAAATTTGAAGTATAGATTCTTTTTGTTCGTTCTATTTTAATTGCGAATCCTTCGGAAATTGTATTGTATTAAGAGTCTAATTTTCGATGATGTGAAAATTTTCCAAATAAGATATTCAATATTTAACATTAATTGATGAAAATTAAGTCCGAAAGTCGTAATGAGTTTTATTATCAAATGTTATATTTTTATAGAATCTCCTTCTTCTTATATATTCGATGCTCTCGGAAACAATTGCTTGAGTGATCAGAAATTCTCTATCGAAATAACTTAATGTCGAACTCTTGGTCTATCGAAAATTGACACATCGAGGACACGATATAAAATTGTGATGTTCATTGGTAGCCGAAAATCGATAGGTCAAATGGTCAGTTAAGTAATACTTCTACTTACGTTTTGTGACGTTCTTGTTTAGACAATCGATTCAATGATATATCTGGATTGATATCATAAAAACATTCATCCTAAGAAAACAATACAAGAAAAAAAACCACTTTTTTCTTTTGCAATAAAAATTTATAATATTTACATCAATGAGTAATTGCATGATAGGTTCATGTAATGCAGCTGTTAAAACTTAACAAAATAAAGAATTGTTTTTTTTTAAATAAGTAAAACAGACATTTATATAACTTACATAATTTACAAGATTGTGATGCTGTTAAAAAGGCATCAAAAACAATTTTAAATGAACATGATGAACGTTGTAAAATAATTCTTGGATTTGATTCATTTTTTAATTGTATATCAATTAATGAACGAAGTAATTCAAGAGTAAATAATTCATCATCATAATATAAACATTGATTATATAAAGCTGACATTAATATTGGTATAATTGCATTTGTTAATAATGCATCAGTTTTTTCAATACTAGCTAAACATAATGCTAATAAATTTGGTTGTTGTCTTAAATAAGTTAATAAACGTAAATAAGGTAAATCTTGTAGATAATTAAAATATTTATATGAATCAATAAATGGTATATTATCAAGAACTTGTATATATTGAAAACATGATTTTGGTTGAATATTTTGATCATTACGATTTGGATATATTAAAGATGAAAGTATGTAACGTTGATGACTTGTTATCCATTGACGATGTTGAACATGTTCAGCGAGTTTAAGAAGCTATAACAAAAATAAAATTCTTAATTGTATAAACAAAAAAAAAAGAAAGTTGTTATTATTTTAATAATTACTTGAGCATATTGTTCACGTATACGTTTTTGTTCAGCAGAAACAAATGATCGTTCACGTTTTAATTTTTTCACTAATTCAATAAGTTCTTCCGTAGAAGTCATTATACATCTGTCAAAAAAAGAACACTATTAATGTCATTTCTTTTCATCATCCAATACACGAACGAACAAAAAAAAGAAAAAAAGAAAAAAAAAGAAGCTTCTTTTCATAATACGTATTTGTGCATATAAAGCACAACCAAGAGAAGAAGAAAACAAACAGACAAGAAATAAGAACATGTCCAAAAAAAAAAGAAAGAAAACACTAACACTTAAATCCACAGATAAACGTGTGTGCTAAAGTTATATTACAAACACACATAAAATGTAGGATGTTTTTTTTTCTTTGTTTGGTTTCAGAAGAACTTGATTTTTTTTTTACTATGTAGATACATTGAGTAATTGACTTGTATGTAATGGTTGAACTGGTGTATTTCCAGTAAATATTGTTTTTGGTTCACAAAATGGACCAATATTATTATTAATCGATACTGCACGAACAGCAAATGCATAATGACTATTTGATTGAAATTCTTTTAATGTAACAGCCATTGGTAAACGCATTGACTTAACTGTACCAATCTTAAATAGAAGAATGTTAATCAAAAGTTTTTTTTCTTTAAAGATAATTTTACTTTTTTCCAATCAGATGCTGTTACTGTTGCATTTTGTTTATATGCATAGATTTCATAATTTTGTATAGATTCCATTGGTGTTGATTGTAAATTCCATGTTAAACGTACGGTTGCATTTTCTTGTGTAATATTTAATTGTGGTCGAGCTATTGTGTGATCACAGGGATTATGTTCAGGTAATGGACGTAAAGGAAATGTCTGAATAGAAATTAAGAATTTAATTATTCAATTATATTTTAAATATAAGAATAAAATAGAATTCAATCGATATAATACTCTACATTCTAAGAGAAACTTCTTCTCACAGAGATACAAACTCGGAACGGTATTTTTTTTTGTTTTATACCGGAAATTTTTTTTAGAGCATCATGTATCTATTTTATCAAGAAATAAGGTTTTATTTTTATTTTTTTTTCTTATTTCTCGTTTCATTGATCAAAATGTAACTTGAAACTAGCATATCATAGTAAATGATAAAGTGAATGTGTCTCGTCAAAATTGCAATATATATTTCGTGGAAGAAAATAGCTTTAGTCGATTTGTTTTATATCAATTGTTACCATGATAATGAGTTTTGTAAAAATGAATTATATATTCTATAAATGCTCGACGTTTTCTATTGACCTGTAAAGTATTCTTCTGAAATAGATATTTAAAAACGTAACTACGTATTCTTGTAGAATTTGAAATTCTTTATCATCCTGAATTCTTCAAAATAATTCAAGACACACTGAGAAAATCTAGTTTGTGAAAAACTGGCAATGAGAATGTTTTGATTACAGTTAATTTATTTTCTAGGTAGTAGGCAGAGATTAAAGTTAAAATATGCAAGGTGATAGAAAATTCCAAGCACTGTTAGAATACATAATTCATTTTTTATAGCATGTATCATTATGGTGAGAGTAGAATTAAAAAATCGACTCAAACTACTTTTTTTTTCAGGTGTATATATTATGAATTTGTTTACAGCAAGGTCAAATTATAAAATAGTTGAGAACATTCTCCAGTAGTAAAAAAATAGGATTTTTTTCATATCTTCTAAATGAATTTGTTTTTTTTTATTATTATACCTGCCCATTTGGAACAGTAGGATTTGGACGAATAGTACGATTTGTTGGCCCTAGAAGAATATATATACCATGTTAAACTTTACTATTAACTAAAACCTACGAATACGAGTAGCTGTAGTTGTCGCTATTGGTGTTGTTGTTGATGTCGACGATTGAATAAACGTTGTACTCTGTTGATAAGAAAAAAGAAAGAATTAAAAGAAGAAAGAAAGAAAAATAAACTCTATATTAACTTGTCTATTAGGAGTTATTCGTTGTGCAGTAGATGTTCTATTTGTATTATCATCTTCATCTTCTTCTGTTAAGTCCACAACATCATGAGGAGTAGCTGTAGATGATACTGCTGGTAGTGGTGGTGGTGGTGGTGGTGGTGGTGGTGGTGGTGGAAGTGAAGTTGTTGCTTGAGAATTTGTTACAATAGCTGATTTTGTTGTAACAGTTGATGTTTTATTTGTTATTGTAGTTGTTGCTATGGCATTTGCAGATAGACGAGGTATAATTTGTTGTAACGATGAAGTTGATGATGATGATGATGTTTGAATTGAATTATAAGTAGTATTATTATAATTACGTGTAGCTGTTAATGTTGCATTATTATGATTTGTTGTGTGTGAAGTTAATGTTGGTATAATAAGAGATTTTTGTTGTTTAGGTGATATTTTACTATTATTTATTGTTGTAAAATCAGTTTGTACTTGTGAATCATGTTGATTAAGTTTAATTGTTTGTTGTTCTCGATCAATTTTTGTTAAATTTATTTGTTTTTGAATTTTATTTTGTTGATATATATTAATTAATTCTTCATGTTGACGTTTTAATGTTTGAATAAGACGATTATTAGTTAATGAACGTTCTTGTTGTTGTTCTAATCTAGCTTGTTTTAATGCTTGTTCAAATAGAAAATATTCATTGTTAAGTGGAGAATTAGATTTATGACATTGACATGTACATGTATGAGAATTATCATGATTTGATGTTTCTAAAAATAATTCTTTTTGTTTTTCAAGACAATAAATGAAGTATAGATAATAATTTTTTTTCAAATATTTGAATGAGTTTTGGTAAACTCACTTTTTTTTAATGATCTATTGCAGAAAAAATCGACGAGAATTTTACTTACTTTTCTAGTGAAGTTTAAGTTGATGATGGCTGTCCAATTTACGCGGGGAACGTTTCGAATCGTTTAATGACTTTTAGAACAGTCTTGATGTGGTGTAGTGGAAAAGTCTGTTTTTCGTTTGGTTTTCCAACCTTTGCTTGTTGAGTTCTCGATATTTGACTTGGTCTTTTCACCTTATGAAAATAGAGTAGCTGAGAATCTGGATGGTTGAATTTCCGTGCGAAACTCAATCAGTCAACAAGCAAGAATCGGAAAATTAATTGAAAACAGACTTTTTTAACTACTACTTAAGACTGATCGAATGGCAATAGTTTCAAACAGAAAGTGATTAAACTATTGGGAATATTCCTTCGTAAGGGAAAAAAAGAACATCTTTTTTTTTTGACTGAAACAAATAATAATAAATTTCTTTCGTGGAACTTTCATATATTTTCTTCAAAAATAGTAAGTCTCAATTCAAAATTTCGCAGCTACCTCCTATCCCATTACAGATCCTAGTGACTAGGGTTAATAGTCTTTCATAGTAATTGTAGGCGTAAATCAATCGTTTTAATACTGTTATCATTCGTACTTACGCAGGAGAAAAATAAAAGATTTTCATAGTGAACAACATTAGTAAGAATTACAAGATCACAGAGAGTAGTAAGCAAAGGAAAAAGGGTAGATTTAAGGTATTAATATGTGCACTACCAATAGTGAGGCAACATTTAATATACGGAAATGTGAATTACACATTTCATCACTAAAGGGGCTACATTTATAAGCTTTCAAATATTCAAAAATTTTCAATTTCATAGAAATAATAATCTTTAACAAACCTTGAATTTCAACAATATCATCATCGATTCGTGATCGTGATGTAATTGATATCGGTGGATCACTTTCCATTGGTGTTGTTTCTTGATCATTGTTATTTACATTTTCTTCTATTTTATTATCTATTTTGGTAGATAAAACTATAAAAATAAAAGAAAAATGACAAAAAAAAGAAAAAATCAAATAACAATAATTACATTCTTTATTATCATTCTCAATAATATGATTCATAATTGAATCAATAACATCATGAACATCCTGAGTATCAATTGAAAAGGATTGTTCTATCTAAATTAAATAATCATAAAAGAAATTATTTTATATAGAATTAAAATAAATTAACCTGATTTGAATTTAGTATAAGAGACGTTTGAATTGTTTGATTATTAATTTCTTCAATAATATCATGTATTATTTCTTCAGTTATTTTTTCATTATTTTCTTCCATAACCATTTGTTCGACTTCATTATCAGGTAGAATAATAAATGTTTGTTGTTCTGGAACATCTTTTTCTAATTTAATATTATGTTCAATCTTATCAAATATTGGTTGTTGTTGTTGTTGTTGTTGTTGTTGTTTTGAATTATTATCATTATGATATGTTGAATAATGTGTTGTTGAATTATTACATAATGATACATTTGATGACTTTGGATTTTTTGATACGGTACTTTTTCGTGCCGTATATCGATACATATCTGGTAGAATACCAGCTGACATTTTTATCTAAAGAGAAAGAAATCTTTTGTTTATCATGATTACTAATTTTCATTTTGAAAACTATATATATATCTGACATAAAGAAAAACAAAATAAAATAAAGAACAAAAACAATAAGAAAATAGAAAAAGATGAATGTTTCATATTGACTAGAATATTAATTTTTATCATTAATCATTGATGTTTGTATATGAAATACATCTACTAAATTTTCCCATTGTTCAATATCTAATGATAAAATTAATTGAGTTAATGAATCCATTTGACATGGTTTTGTATTTGATGATGAAAGACTAATATTCATATTACTATCATTTGATTTATTAGAGTTGTTCAAAGGACCTAAAAAAAAGAATCAAAATCAAGAATTTACATATTTAGCAAAATTTTAAACGAAATATTTCATTCATATATTTATTTTTTTCTTTTTTGACTTTCTCAATAGTACATCATTAAGTTCCAACAATTGAACTAATTAATTATTGATTTTAATGATTGATTTTTCTATTATTATTTTGTAATACTAAATGAAATGAACTATCTAAAATTCTTCTCCAATCAAACTAACATTGATTTCAAAAACTTTGATTCGCTCAACAACCTGGTGTATATATATATATCTATATACATATCACTTTTCTTCGATTATCGTTATCTGGCATAAGTTGGATTTTATTCATACCTACGCACTGCGCTTTAGCATAGGATACAATTTTAAGGATTGAAAATTGTCTCATATTTCCTGTAGTTGTATATATATGAATGAAGAAAAAGAACTCTCCTTTTTTTTTTCTTTTTACATTTTTACAGGCTAAGAATTCAGTTTCATGCGAGAAATGAATAACTTTTATAACAACTACTTATGTCTAATGATTATAGTCAAGTGTTTGTATGACCTCAGACTGTTTTTGATTATTGGACTCAGTATCATTTTCATTCTATACAATTTCAATAGTGTAATATGACGTATATGTACCTCTTAGAATCTTAAACTACTGATATTTTTCAAAATGTACGTGCATAATTGACATACCAAATTCTATTGCGAAATTAAAATGAACAGTTATTTATTAGTGACATAATTAGAAAAAAAAATTTAGTAGAAGCTCAGCCATCTGAGTATGTATGGAAATATGGGTTGGAATAAGTGACATAACAAGGATTCTGATAGTCGGGCGTAATGTGATCAGGACAGAAAGACGCACAGTTCTACTTAGTTACTTTACTAGCAGAGACTTTCTGGTAATACTTATAGAAGAGCTCAATGTCTTCTTAAAGAGCTGAGCTTGTTGTATCCTCCCTGTCTGGTTACATTACTAATATATATATAATTGATGCTTATCTTTTTTATGTGACTGAGTGTATTATTACATGTTATCTTAGTATTCGAAAAATAGAAGAGAGCAAACAATGAAGGACGGACAAGTCGTATCCATTAAATATTTCAAATGATAAACATAAATGGATCATAATATAAAGTTTTCTAAATAAAATAACTTACGTAAAACAGGTAATCCATTATTATCCAAAAACAATTCAGCTTTTCCTTCCTTAACAAAACAAAAAAAAACCAGATTATTTCTTAAATCAATATAATTATTATTTTTTACTTTAATAAGAAATGAAATATGAAATATATTTTCAACAGAACGTGAAAACTTTGTTGGATGAATTGTAAACATAAAGAAACTTATTGGTTGATCTTTAATACCAAAAAAAAAAATAAAAATAAAAATAAAACTATATAACAAATAACGAACTATTATTATTTTCATATGCTTCTTCTAGACATCGATTCATTCGAATAATTTCTTTCGATGTTTGTTCACCATCAGATGACATTTTTTTAATCTAAATAAATATTTCAGTTTTCTAGGTTGTATAATTCTTTTTTTTTGATGTTATTTACTTCTTGTATTTGAGTATGTTGAGAAGCATCAATAATTTCTTTAGTTCGACGACCTCGTTGTTTTATAAATGATTTTTCTATACTTCGTTTTTCAAACCAAAATGTTGGTAAACGTCCAGACCTGTTTATTTTTTTTCGGTTAAATATAAAAATTCAAATGCATTATTCCGTATTTAAAACATTTTCTTACATAAAATTCATCACGCCTGTAGTTTTATGACAATGACAAAAATCAATATAAAACTCTGCAAATACATCATCACTTTCTATCATATTTTTTTTAATAATTTTAGCCTAATAAAAAAAAGAAATTTTTTTCTATTTAAAAAAAAAAAAAGACGAAATTTTTTTTTCTACAAACACATTTTCGCATTAATTTAAAAGCATCTTCAGTTGTAGATTTTTTATCAATAGCAATAGTTTGAATACGAGCAAATGATGATATAGTTTTTAATGCAACTAAATATAAAATTTTTTTAATAACAAAAAAAAAACAAAAAAGCTGTTAGCGTAATCCCTACAGGATTAAAATGTGAAATACGATGTAGCTGCTCGTACTAATCACAAGAAGATTGTTTTATTCTATCTATTTTAGAGACATACTTCTTCACCCATTCTTTTACTTAATCCGTCAGAAATATAATAAGGAAGTAATAACGAGACGTTATTGATATACGGCCTTTAATCATATATCAAGAACATTTGTCACAGTCTGTCGGCGTAGAAATTTCTATTCTATATACTTCAATATCTCTTACAAGCTTCTATTCTACAAAATGATAAATATTAAATACATACTTATATCAAGAACACCTTCACGTGGTGTTCGAACTAGAACATAAAAATAATAATAAAATGTGAAATAGAAATTCAGCTCAATGTATTGTCTTTTACCATCTTCGAATAGTTTATTGCAAGCATTTAATCGATTGAATAATTGTTGGTTTGTAGGCTCGGTTAATTCAGGTTTATTACCTGAAAATCATAAGATAAAAAGAAATATTTATCTTTAAATTTTAATAGTCAAGAACATTCTTGATGATAATTATACAATAGAAAAATGTTGAATGCAAACTTAGAAATTCTTTTTTTTTTTGAAATTTTAAGCAAAAGCATTCGAGTGAGAAGTTCATAGGATAATTTAAATGACAGTTCAGTTTCACTAATAATTATGTAACAAATGTGAAATTTTTCTCATATCAAATTCAGTTTCGTGCTTGCCATAGGTAATCCTATATGTCATCAAACAAAAGTGAATAGAGATCATTATGTCTGTCATGCATTCCCTTCCTTTGACATATCAAAGCACATTATCGTTGATTCCTCTTTTTATCGTGCAACAACAAACACAGTATGATAAGTTATATTTAGAAACAAATTGTTATGATCCACAAAGTAGAAAACAAAATATAAATAAGATCTTCTAAATAATTAGCTTTCTCATGTACCCTAGAAGAAAAATGTTTGGTATTTCTGTGTCATAGACTCTACAAGAACAATATGTGACATTCAAAATATTTTGTTAGTCTATTTATAAAGTATTCATCTACCAATTTTTCTTTTGCTAGTACAGTTACATCTAATCAATTCACAAGAGATCGTGTTCAAATGATAAATCACCTTCTCGTCAAAAGCTAATGAATTGTAGGTCATCAACTAGCTGATTTCGAACAGGACTGTGAGAAATCTCCTTAGGTTTTAATGTGGTGGAGTTTCTAGACTAACATAAGTTTTGCCAATATCGATTAAGATCTACTTAGATTATAGACTAGATCAAGTTATTTATAAACAGTAATCTTTTCTATTTTTCAAAAATGAGTTTTAGGTAATATAATATTATCTTCTACACTTTCACATTGAAATGTTGCTATGTAGTAACAGTCAAAAGTTTAGAGCAGTTATTTTTGAGTTTTCTTCTCCATGGTAGAAGCTAAAAGGATTCTCTATTAAAATTGTTGAACCTTAAAACTACTTAGATGAGGATGTCTGAAAATCTAAGATCTTCCAAAAATCAATTTTTTGAACATGATTGTGTTTGATAGAGCAAAAAATGAGATGTCTCACCTCTCTTCATCGAACTGATTTTTTGGATCTTCTCTAAACTAAATATAGTTCAATGCAGGATCATAAAGAGAGTCGAGTCATTTCATTTACCTCTATCAAACAAAACCATATCCAGAAAAATTTCCAAGCAATGCTAGAAAATCAGATTTCCAAGAGTTCTGACTATGTAAACATTCTCATCAAAATAATTTTATTGGAGCATTTAGGTTCATAAAATCCTTATACAAAATTCTTTCAGCTACTCAACTATATTTTTCTTGCCAGGTCCTTCCTAACTATTACCATGGAACAGACAACTCCACAAAAAAAAACAACTGCTCTTAATTTATGTCTGCCACTACACATGTATCGGTTGCATGAATTACAATAACTATATCTTCTATAAAAAGAAACAATTTTGAAGCACGAGAAGTTATTGTTTATCTAAGTAATTCGATATGCTCTATAAACTGGACAAAAAAGAAAAAAAAAATTTCAAATGAAAAGTTTGTTTATCTAGAAAACCAGTACATGAAGACTTGATAAGTTTTCTTACGGTTATATTCGAAATAATCTACTAGCCTTTAATGTAAAAACGATTGCTTAGTTAAAAATGTGTCTTCATCAGTTGAACATACTAAACTAATACATCTTATTATGCTGATTTTGTCTTTAATTAATTTCTTGATTAGTTATTGAATCTGAAGTTATAGTCATTTTTAAGTTCAACAAGAACAAATTTTACTAATCCGTATTAAACAATAAAATAAAAACTATTGATCAGAACAACAAACAGAAGCCATACATTGTTTATAGTAATATGCATGCACAAAAAAAATGAATAACATAACTCACTGTACAAATCACTGATTAAACTTCGATAATTAATGCGTGTTTCAAGTCTTTCTTCCGTCTGATAGACAAAAGAAACAAAAAAAAAACAAAAGAATTCAATTTTATTTCATGTTTTTGCAAAACAACAACAACAACAACAACAATAAATGATGCTTACATTTATTTGATTAACCAATTTATGTCTGCTCATTTT